GGGTGCCTCGGTGGCTCAGTCCATTGAGCATCTGACTTCAGTTTAGGCCATGATCTCATGGGTTGTAGGTTGGAGCCTGCTTTGAATTCTGTGTCTCCCTCTCTCTCGGTGCCTCCCCAGTTTGTGCTCTGTCTCTCAAAAATAAATAAATGTTTTTAAAATTTTTTTTAAAAGAATGAGGGGCGCTTGGATGGCTCGGCCGGCTGAGTATCTGACTTCAGCTCAGGTCATGATCTCATGGCTCATGGGTTCGAGCCCCGCATCAGGCTCTGTGCTGACAGCTCAGAGCCTGGAGGCTGCTTCAGATTCTGTCTCTCCCTGTCTCTGCCCCTTCCCCACTCACACTCTTTCTCTTTCTATCTCTCAAAAATAAATAAACATTAAAAACTTTTTTGTAATTTTTAAAACAGAATGATATCTGTGTAGATTTTTAGCATATTTGTCTGAAGGCATAAATATCTTCTAAAAAGAAAGAAAAAGAACAGCATTAGCATCAAATTATGAGCCACCTTTTCATGGAACACATGCTGTTTCTTCCCAGTAATCAAGGAAAGATAAGGAAATTATCATCCTCTCAAACAGACTGATGGAAATGTAATTGGCACAGTCTTACCAGGGGGTAGTTTGAAAATATACATAAAAAAGATTTAAAGCAGAAACAGCAGCCTTCTGAGCTAGCTATTCTACTTCAAGGAAATTATTTTAAGGAAATGATCCAGCACATGCAAAAAGATATAAATAACATGATGTTTGTCAGAGCACTGTTCTTAAATAGCAGAACAGACTGGTGACAACCTGCGTATGTGTATGTGTGTGTGTAGTTTCAAAATAGAAGTGTAACATTTTGGGGGGCCTACTTTTCCCCCCACTTAGATATCTCTTATGAACACAAATATAGGTTTGTATTACGCTGTGTCAGTTTATAGTATTCTACTGTTGGGTGGTTAAGTAATTATGATGAACTATCATAGAAAATATGCAGCCATTTAAAACAGTGATTGGAATCTACCCTCATAGATATGAAGATATGCTCAAGTTAGATATTTGAATGAAAAAAAAGGTCTCCAGAACATCAGGTATCATATAATCCTATTTTTGCAAGCCCACAGAAATATGTGCGTGTGTGTATGTGTGTGTGTGTGTGTGTGTGTGTGTGTAAAATAACTTCATATATACACAGAAAAAAAGTATAAATGTTACCAGAGGTAATCTCTGAGAGTGGAATTTGAAATGACTTTTAAAATGTTTTCCTTTTGTAATGAACATGTATTAAGGAAATTAACACGGGGGTAGCTGGGTAGCTTAGTCAGTTGAATGTCCAACTTTGGCGCAGGTCACAATCTCACGGTTCCTGAGTTCGAGCCCCACGTCGGGCTCTTTGTTGTCAGTGCAGAGCCCACTCAGATCCTCTGTCCCCACACCCCCCCCCGCACCCCACTGTCCCGTGCCTTCCCTGCTTGCATGCCATGTCTCTCAAAAATAAATAAAAAACATTTAAGAAAAAATAAATTAATATGTTTCAAAAACAAAAAGACAAAAACCCTTGGGCTGCCAACCTTCTGTGAGTGTGTGTGACCAGTGTTCAAATATTGCTGGGCATTGAAGGAGAAAAAAATAGAAAGCAAAGCAGAATCCACAGCCATGAGTCTAAATTTGCCATCAGACTATCAGCCTCTACCAATGTAGGACTAATGGGTTCTGTTGTTAGAGTGGAAGTGGGGGCTGCTAGTGAGAGAAGGTTATCTGTGTGATGTCTTAAGGCTATTTAATTTATTTAATTTCACTGGGTTTTCTAGTCATGGACCGTATCCCTGGCCTTAACCAGCTGCCTCATGGTCGGACTTCTTCGTCGTAACACACACCTCACCCAAGATCTGTTCACTTGTCTTGATTCTCTTGAAACACCAACTCAGAGACTACTGCTAGAATCTTTGGTTTTATTGGATGACAGAGTCCCGGGAGTATATCTAAGTATCTGTTAAGGACCAGCATGGTTTCCCACATGTGCAAGCACAGTTGACTTAGAAATTGCCTGAAACACAATGGTTTTTGTTGGTTGGTGAATAAATTGTTCTGTCCAGGTAAGCAGCTGTAGACACATCCTTGAGAGCAGATCATTTGAATTAGTAAGAGCCTTCTGTCTTAATTGCTAAAGGAGACAGAGCCTCTTTATTGATTTAAGAAACAAGGAAATTCCAGAGGCTGTCCAGTACCTTTGGCCACTCAAAGCTCGATCTCAGGTACGAAGCTCGATCTCGGGTATTTGTGTCGCCAGCCTCTCTCCGTGTGAACAGTAGCATCTTCTGGTTTCTGCCCCATCCCTGTGAGGGTTACATACAGCACTGCCCCCTGCCTTCTCAGCAGTACCAGATGTTGTACTCTGTTCCTCTTGCTCGGCCCCCGGTCTTGTCCCAGCCGACAAACACTGTGAGTGGAAGACAGCCAAGAACTCCATACAATGTGAGACAAAGGCCTTTTGGAAGCTTGCTTTTGCTAAAATAGAAACAGCTACCCTCACCCTCACCTTGGCCCCCAGCTTTTTACAACATCACATGATTGCACAAATGACACAGTGTGTTCTTTGCCTTGAACAGCTCTTGACTGGTTGTGGTCAGGTGAGTGATCAGCATCTTACATGCTCAGGAAGATACACCATCCCAGTACTTGACCCGCCAGAGAACAACATTCTAGAAGCAGTTTTGTGTACTATGTAATGGGAACTTAATCCAAGTTAGGATGGAACTCGGTGGGGAGACTAATGCATAAAAATGTTTGCTTTTATGGAACCAACGTAAAAGGGGTACAAAAAGACACTAACCCATTGAGGTTAAGGTTAACATTTCCCAACCTTATCTCCCTTAATTAAAAGAAAAGTGAATGTAGAGAGTTATTTCACTACAAAGAGCTATCTAGCTCCACTCCATCACCAATAAGCCCAAGTAAAGACAAAAAGAAGTGTTTTACTGGATGGAATTTAAAAAAAAAACCTCCCAGAATTTAATCTCTGAACAGTATTATCTTTCTAGTAAGAGAGCCCAGATCTTGCTTCCCCATAACCTTCCAAGTTGCAGTCTGTGTTCTGTCTATCAGAAATTCCTCCTTCCCACCCACGAGTACCCTTCTGTTGTGGGAGAAGGAGGGCCGTTCCAATCTTTGGCCTGGGGCCAAGCCAACCCTCAAACTGTGGTTTTCTCTGAGTCTCCTTACTGAAGCATGGCTGTTTCCCACACCCAATAAAGAAGCAAAAGTCTTGTATATGTTGACCAGGTCTTGAGTGGAGGCCAGTGCTTACACAGCTCTCACATTCCCAAGACATTGACTGATGACGGTGTAGCCCATTCCCTGGGCTGTTAACCCGCAAGTGCAGAGTGCTAACATTGTATATCCAGACTCGCATTTCTTAGAATTTATATGGAGAGAACTTTATCTATTCTTCTATCCATTTATGAATGAATATCAGGACAAAACAATTCACATCATCTATTGTTGATGGAGTTGTAGGACTGGAGCCAATACATGGTATGAGAGGCTGATTTCTGCCAATAGTCTAATGAATTCATTTATATATCTGCTTTTTAACATTGCCTGAGTATTTTCGTGGGTTTCTTTATCAAATTTGATTGCTTTAATCTCATTACACTTAGCCTTGGCTTTGGTGAAATACCTGGGAACTTGTCTACATTACTGACTCTTGGGAAGTTTGGACAGTACAGAATTGTGATTTCATTGTCCATTTGGTATATTAGAGTGTGATGACTAAATAGCTGAGAACCTAGAAGCTGCTTTACTGTATTTGGGAAGAGTGTCTGCTTTTTTGAGATGCGGTACACTTGCATTATATTAAGGCTTAAACAAGCTGGACTTATTGGTAGATTGAGGATTATATCTCAGTTCAGGCGTCCATTTCGCTGCATTTAGCAGACCCTCCCTTCTGCCCTATGCCACCATAGCTTAACAAATTAGAATTTTTCTTTTCCCCCATATAATCAGAAATCTAGAGTTAGGCCCTCCTGAACTCTATGGTACTGTCATGAGCCCATGCTTCTCTTGTCTTTATCCTTTACAATCCTTAGCAAGTGACTTCCACCCAAGGCCTGTCCACCTGATGCTAGCTGGATATCCATGTTCCGGATGGGAGGAAGAACAGTAAAGGGCAAAAATTGTGTCCTAACCCAGTTTGCCCCCTTTAAAGAGCTTTCCCGGAAGGTGCACATGGTTATTCCTAAGTACAGGAGAGATTGGGAAATATAGTTTTTTTAAGTGGACACACATCATTACCCAAACAAAAATTGGGGCAGTATTATTAGGAAGAAAGAAAGAAGTATTAGTATCCAGGCAAGTGACAGTCTCCTAAGCAATAAATCCTCTTAATTTCTTCTATTTTGTTATTTGAGGTAAAAACTGATCTTATCACTAAGGAACGTTGGTGTCTAAGGTCCTGCCACAAAATTTGCATCTAGGAAGATGAATTTATTTTTGTTTGGGATCTACAGAAAGTCTTGCTTACATTTTGTGGCTAAGTATAAGTTGATCACAGATAACACACTAGGCACTATTCAAAGTCCAGACAATGGTCCTATTACAAGATTACATCTCTGTAGAAACACAGACTTGACTATTTTTTTGCATAGGAATTTGGTTGTTACTAAAAAAAAATAAAAATGAGTAGTAGTTACGAGTTTTCTTACTTTCATTCATGGGGTAGATATTTATTAAGCGCCTGTTATGCACAAGGCATTCTACTAGGCACTGTGCATGAAACAAAAATTAATCAGATGTCATTCAGGCATCTGCAGCGTGCAATGTCCAGAAGGAGAGAAAAGTACACATATCAGTGGCTGTAACCCAAGGTAGAACGAGCTAAATGTGATAAGACACACACAAATAAATTGTTACAAGCATTCAGAAGAGGAAAAGATTATTCCTGCCAGAGAAAATTGAGTAAATATGATCTGGGGAACCTAAACATATGTTTTCATTTTAAGCGTTTGCTTTCACAGCTAGTGAGCATCATCGTAAGACTAGAAAAGTATGTTGAAAAATGCCCAACCAGCTGCCATTCACAGACCCTACAGAGGCAGACCTGCATGCCATCGGATCCTCAGCAAACGGAGGTGGGAGGCTGGGAAGGAATGGAGCATTTGCCGAAGGTCTACAATGCGCCTGGTATTTGGTCTACTTCAGGAATCCTTGATTGAATGCCTGGGTGATATTGACATATGGGGGGTCTTCATTTAACCCCCAATAATCCAGCAAAGTAATTGTAATTGCCTGTGAGGAAGCTGAAGGTCAGAGAAGTTCACTAACTTGAAAAGGTCACCGTTGATAAGTGCCAGAGCCTACATTTGAGCCCAGGCACGTTTGGCTGCAAAGCCATGCTGTTCTTCACTTACCTGAGTCTCTGCCTTTCACTGATGACCAACTCTGGATTTGTAGGCATAATAAGTGTTGAACAGTGAACTCCTTCAGCCCCGTCTAATGCTGAGTCCTGTACCCACCTGGTTAAAACTAGGACGCCATTTGGATACTTTGACTAGTACCCAGAGTTAACTTTGTTACCTGCTTAAGTCTTAGGAGAACTTGACTTTTTTTTTTTTTTACCCTTGAATGATTAATTTTTGTAATAAATAACTACAGATGGATGGTACAAAATTCAAAAGGTTATAAATGATATGTAGTGAACAATTAGTTTCCCTCTTTCCTGGACCCCTAGCTAACCGGTTCTTCTCCATGGAGGTTCCTAGTTTTTTGTGTACCCTTTCAGAATTGTTCTATGCACATATCAACCTTCTGTGTATGTGTGTGTGTTTCTGTGTGTTTTGTGTGTCTGTGTGTAGGGTTGTGTGTATTCTTTTTCCTTTTTTACACAAATAGGAGCTTACTACACTCACACCGTTCGGATCTTGCTCTTTTCATTCATTTTTTGTTTGTATTTAGGAGTCCCAGCAAGACTTTTTAACAAAAGAAAAAAACCTCAGTGATCTTGAAAATATGGTTAAGTTGTCACCACAGCAACATATATTGAATGGATGTTTTCTTTCTGATGGCAGTTCCTTTACAACACGAAAAATCGCGCTCAATAAGGAATATTTTCATTTCCAAGAGCCCTTTGCTAACAGTGGCTTTTCTTTCTCAGCTCCTCATCCAGTGAATTTGTTTATGGATGGCTGCTATAGAGCTCTTCAGCCCTGCTTGGATTTCTAGTCTCCTCCCCATTCTGAAAGGGGCAACTTTCACTCTTCAATCTAAGCTCGTGTGTAGGGATATAGTAGTGAAAATAAACTGACAGTAACCCTCTCCTGCCTCCTTCCTTCCTTTTAGTTGAGTCTCTCCCACAGATATTGAGACCCTCAGATATGGAAATGGTGTTTGAAAGGAATAGATTTGTTTTTGAGTCTGTCTTGCTGTACCCCATGGTTACTTGTCCTCGGAAGGCTTGCTGGAGCAGAATCAGGGCTCCTGGGCCCTCTTGGACCATCTGAAGACCTTCCCACATGTATACACCCCCCAATGCCTCCCTCCTGGCTTGGCCCATGGGCTTGGGTCTTCCTTTGTTCCCCTTCTTCCGGTCAGAGTTGGAGGTGAGGGAAGAGCTCTTCGGGTTCCCCTTTGCATGGTTTGTAGAGATGAAGAACATCTCAGTCCGAATGGTGCATTTGAAAATGCTGTAACCCTCTACTTCTGAAATTGCTTTGTTCTTTGTTAAGCCTGTCAAACACATTTACTCTGCACAAGAGTCTCTGATCCCTCTCAGACCTGCCTAGCCCAGGACCTTTGGACATATTTCCCTGAAATGGGACATTCCAAGGCATGAGTGTAGAAGGATTGGTTAACATTTTGCTAAAGCTACCCAATTTATATTTTTTATATCTTAAAGCATGAAAGTCATAAAAGACAAAAATAATATTAATAAAGTCTATCTCTAAGGTGAATGCTTCCTAAGAGCATCTGATCTTACCCTTTTGGCCTGGCCAGAAGGAAATGACATTTCTCCATGTCTCTTTAAATGCAGTGTCTTCAGATGGAAATCAATTGCCAGAAATCTTTTTAATAAAAAAACCTTCTGTATTTTGCCAATTGTATATTTTCTCTTAATATTATTTCACATTTAAAGCTTTTGTAACGCATGCGTATTGAAGGCAGTGTTAATAGTATGGAATGATCAATAGCAAAATTTGTGGCCTCCCCCAAAGAAAACACCAATTGCTAATGAGGTAAATAAGTTATAAGAATTTTTTAAGCATCGACTTGAGAAAGTATACCTTTACATCCTAACTACAGACATATGTTGGTGTTTGTGACATTTAGATGGTGATTTTTAGGTCTTTATTGATTTGTAGGCTTACCCTCTAAGCAAATACACCTTTGTATTGATCTTATATTCATACAGTAACTAGCATTCAGGTAGTGATTTTACTTCGAAAGCATTTTAAAATGTAAAGTCTTATGTTAATCTTTAAGTCAATGAGGTGTTAAAGAATTCTGCAAAGAGTCCTCAAGGCCACACATGGTCTGGCTGTTCTGTTCCAGCCTCCTCTCTCCACCTCTCTGCTCAACGTGCCCTTGCCACACTGGCTTCTACCCACTCCTCATATGTGCACACCTTCTAGAAGAGTTCTGAGCTCTCTGAGTGGGCTGGAATTGAGTCAAGCTTCAAGCCACTTTTGTTCCTGTGCTTTATTTCCAGTACTTGACACCCAGTAGGAGACATTCATTAAATATCTGTTGAACTTAACAGTGAAGGAAACGAAGACAGAGAGACCAGACGCTTTTCTAATTTCCACAGATGGATAATACATAGTACCCATATGCCCTGATTCCCAGCACAGTGTACTTTCAACAAGACCGTCTCAACTCTCTCCTTCCAGACCTCTCCGTTCTCTGAATCTGGACCTACACTGGCAGTATTAGAGAAATTTTTCCTAAAAAATTACTTCAACAATTTCCCTTTTCCTTTTGTCCCACTTCAGGATTACAACCCAGTTACTCATTTATAGCAAATGGCTTATGAAGGACATCTCCAACGACCTTTCTTTTTCTCTTCCTTGTAGGCCATCTTTGGCAGCCAGACACTACCTAACTCCAATTTATGGACAATAAATAATGGTGCAGCTTGCAGAATTTCAAGTGCCACAGCTAGTGGCCAGAAGCCAGCCGTTCTACCGCAAAAAGTGGTGCCAGCTCCAAGTTCTTCCTCCTCGCTGGTCCCCAAGCCCCCAGCCAATCACAAACAAGTCCTCAGGAAGATGACATCCCAGAAGGCCTCCAAGTAAGTTTTCCTTAATCTCCTGTTCAGTTTCTTCTGAGTCGTATCCATTCTGTGCTAAGAGTACTCTTCGTTTATGAGGCCTTCAAAATCGTTGGTACTGTACAGAAGACAAGAACACCTTGGGGCGCCTGGGTGGCGCAGTCGGTTAAGCGTCCGACTTCAGCCAGGTCACGATCTCGCGGTCCGTGAGTTCGAGCCCCGCGTCAGGCTCTGGGCTGATGGCTCAGAGCCTGGAGCCTGTTTTCGTTTCTGTGTCTCCCTCTCTCTCTGCCCCTCCCCCGTTCATGCTCTGTCTCTCTCTGTCCCAAAAATAAATAAAAAACGTTGAAAAAAAAATTAAAAAAAAAAAAAAAAAAGAACACCTGATGGGGACTGAAAGTTAACTCTGGTTCTCAGCCTGGGCTGAGAGTCACCTGGGGAACTAGTGGACCATGCTGAAGTTTGGGCTGTGTACCCTGTGGGAGGGGCAGGTGCTGCTCTTAGGTTCTCCGGGGATTGTGATGAGCGCTGATGGCGGGGTTCAAGGTCACTGCCAGTGACTAAGTCTTCCAGCCTCTGGCAGGAGCTACCATCAGACAGTGCACTGGGTAACAGTGCTGAACCGTGGGTTTGGAGAAAGGAAATGCAAACTTCTTCCTGATGTGTTTTTTTCCTGGTCTTTCTAAAGAGTCAGATTTTTTCAATTTCATCTAAAATTCTGTATGCCTTCCCCCTCTCTTCCCCGCCCCCCCTCCCATTCACCTGTATTCCTTGTTCACTCTTAGGGATTTGAATGGGAAGACACTGGATTGGGATTTCATTGAGGGGGTTAGGAAGGGGCAATTTGTGGTTGAAGGCCAAGAGCACAGTGAGAAGGAAGCCGTATGGCTCTTCAGCCTGGAAAAAGTAGAAGTGAGCCCTCAAGGGTGTAGCTCTGGAGCCAGACTGCCTGTATTCACACCCTCACGCACTAACTGTTTACTAACTGAAGACCTTTGGTCGGTTGCAAGTTACTTAATCAGTTAGCCTCAGTCTCTTCATTTGTGAAGCGGAGATAATAAAGAGGATCTGCTTCACAGAATGTTGATAAATACTAGCAGAGTTAATACATGTAATACTTTGCATGTAGAACATCTAGAACAAGACGTAGCACACAGAGGAACTCAGTGAGCCTTAATTACCATCATAAACATTCTGGAATCATGCTCTCTTCCTTGGGTTCAGGAAGCCCTCAGGTAGGAGAATCAGTGAGCCGGATGTGCATGTTGAATTTGCCAGTATGCGCCTTGTTTGTGGATCCTCTGAGTATTGCCAGTATCCTGAGCTGGCCCGTGGTGGCCCATTGGGTCCGGCTCGTCTGCTGGTAGGGAGGGGGCCTTGTCAGCAGGCAGCAGGACCATTTGCCGCCCTGAACTCAGTGCTGGCAGGAGAACTCTTCAGCCTTTTGAGATGAAATTGCGGCTCTATGGACAAACTTTGCTGCATTTTTGTGGTTTCTTCTCTCTGACAGGCAGGAGTGTGGGAAAACCGGAAACAGCTCAGCACCAAAAATGCACAGAAGAGGGGAAAAAGCAAGATTTCTTCAGAATTTAAGAAATATAATCCAAGTATCAAAAGGCATGCTGTAAGGCGTTGTTCCAGGAAATAGTTTCCAATTTGCCTTTAAAATTCTAGCACAAGTCTCTGAAGCTAAGTAAGTTAGTACTAATGGAGACCTTGACGTTCCTTCACTTACGTGTATAATGTAGTGTCGTGGGGAGCCCCACTGTCTTTAATAGTCTTCTGGCTTTTAGGAAAAGGAATGGCATTGTTCTTATTTGACCTGACCCAATGAAAAGTTCCCTCTAAGAAGTATTCAGATAAAGGTTTTTTTTTTCTTTAACTAACCTTTTTATTTTATAATAATAGATTTACAGAAAAATTGTAAAGACAGAACACATAAAGATAGAAACACCCCATTTTCCCCATTGTTAACATCATTTATTGCCATGGTGCATTTGAAGAAGGTACTACCCTGAGAAACTGTCATTGATACGTTATTAAGAACTAAACTCCATACTTTATTTGGATTGATGAAGTTATTATTATTTTTTTAACATTTATTCCTTTTTGAGAGTCAGAGAGATACCTAGCGCGAGCAGTAGAGGAGCAGAGAGAGAGAAAAGGGGGCACAGAATCCGAAGCAGGCTCCAGGCTCTGAGCTGTCAGCACAGAGCCCGACGTGAGGCTCAACCCATGAACTATGAGATCATGACCTGAGCCAAAGTCGGACACTTAACCGACTGAGCCACCCAGGTGCCCCTTGATGAAGTTATGTTTATATTTAATCTGGAGAAACCTTTCACAGATCCTTGAGTATCAGTCGATATATTCTTATGTTCTAAAGTAATTCATGTTCCTAGCCAGCCTAGCAAGTTACTTAACATTTATGTGACCTCGTTTCCTATTTAAAATGGGAGTAGTAATAGTACTTGCCTCATGGGGTTATCAAGAGGAACAAATGAATTAATGTCAAGCACAAATATCATGCCTGGTACATAATGTATGCTAAATAAGTGTTAGGTGTTATACTGTTATCATTTAGGTTAGTACTGGGATGTCATTTCAGGAAATTTTCATATAACTTTTTACTTTCGTCTTGCAAGATATGTTGCTTCATTTGCTAGGAGCTCATTTTGGCCTTTATTCTGGCTCCGTTCAGATTAATCAGGAACCATCAGTTATGAGTGGTGATACTGAGTCACACTCGGGAATGCCATAGTTGCCCCAAGAGACACAACTAATGAGAAGTTGTAATGAGCTTTTGACTGCGCCAAGCCCTGTGTTTTGGGGTTGAACTTCAGACTTCTCCTAGCACAGAAGTTGGCATTGGACAAATATAGAAGCAATTTCCAAGAGCATCAAAGTTTCCACATCCTAGAGGGTTGAGTTTAGAGAACAATAGAACATAAAAGATGGAATGTCGTTTGGAGTCGGTGCAAAGGGAGTTGAGAATCAGAACAGTGGGGTCCTATTTCTTTATGATAATATTCAAGTCACTTTCCCTCTAAAGGTTTCAGTTTCCCATCTGTAAAACAAAACCACTGTCCCCACTGAATAATTAACCAAAATAACTGGTTTTCTGTCTATTCCATTGAAAGCTTTTTATGAGCACATTTCTTTTTTAATCTTGTTGCTTTACAGCCATTTCCTCATCCCCTCTTGGCCCACAAGTTCTTTGTTATAGTCCTCAAATTCATATATTTATATTTCCTTTAGCTAAATCTCATTTGTCAATTCTGTGGAGAGGAAGATTTAGATTTTTTTTTTTACCCTTTCCATAGTGCCAATAGCCTTTCTTGATTTTCCTCTCTAGTGTTTGCAACACTTCATAATTTAGTACCCACTTCAGATCCTCCTTTTAAAACTATTTGTGGTATTTCTTCCAAACAGTCAGCTGAACTAAGAGGAATGACAGCCTAGGAACAACTACGTGCATATGAACTGTGTCTTCCTTGTAAATGACCTTTTCCTCAGAGCCAGACTCATACTCTCCAGGAACATGGAGAAAGAAACCTAAGGAGATTAAAATTTGCCAGGGTCATGGGCAAAACTCACAGACTAGAGATAACTTCGGAAGGGCAGAGTCAAAGCTGTTGTACCTGGGGCTTCTCTGAGGAAAAAAAACTACGAAAGAAACACCAGGCTTAACTAAAGTGCTTTTCTTTCAATAGCTGAGATTACCTTTCCTTGCCTAGGTTTTAGGATATTCTACAGCAGGGTGACCTCAGTGGCAGTTGAAGGTAACTGCTTGTTCTGTGTCAGCACCCAGGACAGTGGTGTTTGTTAATGGCTACTGGGCATTAGGAAGGGAGGAGAGAAGCCAGGAGCCCAGCAGTGTGGACAGACCAGTACCAGTTCATGTGACCTGAGCATGTGTGATATTAGCAATATGAAGAAAGATGCTCAGAGATTAACATCAGACACATATAAAAATAAGGGTCAGGTTTAAAAAATATGCTATATCTTTTTTTTTATTATTGAATATTCACTTTAAATATTTATTGTAGTCATTGGTTTTTTTTGTTTCTGTTTTTGTTTTTTGTAATTTACTTCCAAGTTAGTTAACATATAGTGCAATAATGATTTCAGGAGTAAATCCAGCGATTCATCCCCTACATATAACACCTAGTGCACATCCCAGTAAGTGTCCTTCCTAATGCCCCTTGCCCATTTAGCCCATCCCCCCACCCACAACTCCTCCAGCGACCCTCAGTTTGTCCTCTGTACTTAAGAGTCTCTTATGTTTTTCTCCCTCCCTATTTTTATATGATTTTTGCTTCCCTTCCTTTATGCTCATCTGTTTTGTATCTTAAATTCCACATATGAGTGAAGTCTTATGATATTTGTCTTTCTCTGACTAACTTATTTCACTTAGTGTAATACACTCTAGTTCCATCCATGTTGTTGCAAATGGCAAGATTTCATTCTTTTTGATTGCCGAGCAATATTCCATTGTATGTATGTATGTATGTATATATACATATGGATAAAGTATGTATGTATGTATGTATGTATGTATGTATATACATATGTATATATACAATGGATAAAGAATATGTATACATATATATGTATATATATGTATACATATTCTTTATCCATTTGTCTGTCGATGGACATTGGACTCTTTCCATACTTTGGCTATCATTGATAGCATTGGTGTAAATATTGGGATGCATGTGCCCCTTCAAAACACCACACCTACATCCTTTGGATAAATACCTAGCAGTGCAATTGCTGGGTCATAGGGTAGTTCTATCTTCAATTTTGGGGGGAACCTCCATACTGTTTTCTAGACTGGCTGCTCCAGTTTGCATTCCCACCAGCAGTGCAAAAGGGTTCCTCTTTGTCCGCATCCTCGCCAACATCTGTTGTTGCCTGAGTTGTTAATTTTAGCCATTCTGACAGGTGTGAGATGGTATATCATTGTGGTTTTGATTTGTATTTCCCTGATGATGGGTGATGTTGAGCATGTTTTC